TTGAATTTAAGGTCACATTGAAAAAAAAAGAAGAATATTTACTCTTTAATAACAACAGCAACACGTGACAATTTCTATCAACAACGTTACACGTGCGACAGTCCCCTTAAGATAGCTGGATATCCTTGTAAACCATCCGTTAACAAGGAAGCAATTACTTATACATATCTTCCTTACTTTATTCTGTTCATTTTTCGTTCCTAAGGAAAAGAAAAAGAAAAAAAAAACGTTATCATGCATAGACTGTTAAATTATACGGCGAATAGCGTGTGCCTAATGACATACGAAAATCCAAAGTCCTTGGAGTTAAATAAAGCGTTTAACGAAGCATGCGTGCACTTATATATACGATGATTGTACGCCACACGCGCACATACTACTAAAAACAGAAGAATTATGGTAAACGAGCAATGTTCTTTTTCTCTCTTTCTCTCTGGTGTGCTGAACATTCGGAAGGTTTTTACGCGGGTCAGGGACATTTTCGGAGGCGTTGCCTCTCTTTTAAATTTATCCTTCACGGCCAAACCGGTGCGGTGCCTCTTATTAGCCACGGCTAAGGTCATTGAACCTGTCGATTTTGCCTCGCATAAACAGGCATTCGAGGTGAACGATCGGTCAACCGATCGGGATTTTAACACGCGGACACGTTAGAAGCCGTTGAGCTCGTGTTACACAACGAGGAAGCCGAGATAACGTTAGCTTGGCCCATCGATTACTATGAGACGATGATCCTAGGCATTTTTGACGTTTTATCCAAAGGAACGTCGTTAAGAATAAGCAGAGATCGTCTAACTGTACCGTTACGGTTAACCGGGTCCATTTTGGAATTCGTTCCGAGGCAAAAATGGCGGAATTTCCTGTTGAATAATCGTTTTGACAAAAATGACAGCGAGGTATCAAGAAGCTGGTAGGATAAAAATAAATCTACTGTAAAGTGGCAAGTTAAATATTGGATACAGCTAGAAGTCTCAATTAGAGTCCATTATCGACCAGGTTACCTTATGAAGTTAAACGCAGATTGGTTGTTAAGTATGCCTCTGAAGGATAATATGCATCTCTGTACACCGTCTTTGTGTACATAATGATTTCTGTTATTTCTCATCTAACTCGCAGCTTTCTCTACTTGTTAGCGTCATATTCGATATATGGACCATAGAATTGCGATTTTATGTATTATCAACCACCTGGTGGTCATTTCCCAAAGTTCTCCCATTATCGCGTCTCGTACAACGTATATCTGTCACCGAGAAGAAAGTTGTACATGGAATACTTCAATATCCACTTGGCATTAAACATGATACACATAGTCACCCGTGAGACATCTACAGACCCTCGTCGAAATCGTTTCCACAAAAACGCGAGTGACCGTCGAGTAAAAAGGAAGACTGCGAATAAAGGTTGGCAATACTTTTATCCCTGTTGCACTCGATGTAATACAAGTCCACCGTATCATTTGAGGGATGTCTGTGGAATGGGCATCGTGCTCCTGACCGCCAAATCGCGTCTCTCCCCCATGCAAGAAGTAGCCTGTCGAGCAAGCTCCGCGTGGAGGGAAAAAGAGAGGATGCTGCTTTAACCAGGGCATGTCGGAGATAGGAGCAGGTTACGGAGAGAAAATCTGCAAATTTCATGCGGTGCAACAACTTTCTTTCTTCGGATAAGGCGCGTGGCCACCTGAGCCGGAGCCTCAAGGAAGTGTTTCCTACGGTAGAAACGGCCACGATGACGGGGGGAACGCAAGGGAGGACAGGAACTTTCTCCACCTTCGTTGCTCGCGACACTCTGCCTTGGGAATCGTGGCTCTCTTCTCTTTGCCTCGCGGTTTTCTCATTACTCGATATGAAAGTTCTGTTGAAATTCGATTAAATCGAGTGTTTGGAATTACTAAAGAGATAGATGTGGATTCTGGGAACGGTAAACATGGTATGACATCGGTGTGATTAAAAATGTAGTATATTGGAAATTTGAGCACGTCTGGCATTGTTTGATGATAAGGTTATTTGAGTAAGTGATACTTGAACATATATTTAAATTATTATAGTAGTTTGAATCCTTTATAATCATTTAGTGTAGTTAACTTTCTCTTCATCTTTTGGCACTGAAATAGCAATATTTGTCTAGATATGTATACCTGTTTCGCTGCACTTAAATCCACATTAGAAGGTGTGTGTTGATAAAAATAATCGAAATTATGTTCTCCAACTACACAGTGTCCAAAAAGGAAACGGATTAACTGATAACTAGTGTGCCGCATAATAAAAACCGCACAATCGTAAAAACAAAAATAGGAAGCGAACAGAGATTAACAAGACGAGGAGAAATAGTCGACGAGATTGCGGTTAGATTAGGGTAATTGGAATCGCCGTCGTATCCTATGAGCCAATAAAACATCTTTGACGTAATGTCGATACGAAGTTCGTGTGGAAGTTTCATTAGAATACATTTTATCGGTGCCTGGTAAAGACATGCGCTATTACCGTAAGCGTGATACACGTGGAGTTAAAAACACACGCTCGTAGAGCAAAACAGGGAGTGGGGGACGAGACGAGCATTTACTTACACCTCAGTGGGTATTCTAATTGCAGCACATCGTTCAATTTTCCGAGCCACTTATCATTTCCCATTGGGTGAATAACTCTGTTATCCAGTTGGACGCGTTCGTTCGTAAAATGGCGCGTTCACGTGATTCATCGTTAGCACGATTTTATCGACTTTCTTAAAAATTTCTCCTCCGCTCCTCGGGATAGAAAAGAAAAACGAAATCAACCGTGTCAAGCGTAACGACTAGTTCACCTAATGTAAATTACATTTTAAGCTTGTTTTCTTTTTCTATTACCAAGGGAGGATAGTAATTAAATTTGATGAAGTTACGTTTATGTTTTGAAGATGTTCGAAAGTAATTTCAATGGTGGATAAACAGAAGTGAGGACAATTTATGTTTTTCTTTTGTTGATTATCGACTGCGTGTAAGTCGATAGTTCTTTGATATTTTACGACATTGAGAAGAAGGCTTTGTAATCTGCCGTGTTAGCAAAATTTAAAACATTTGCACACTTGAGGTAATACCTCGCTATTGACAGAGCGATTACGATAGATGTCCCACTTTAAAATTTCAATAAGTCCTGGCAACCGTGGACAGTGAAGAGGAGTCTCCTTGTGTTTCATGCCGTACGATGACGAACGAAGGAGAATAATGTAGAAAAAGGAGAAAACATTGAATTTTTATCGACGATCGGTGAAAAAAAAATATGTTCGCGCTAAGGTTGCTAGAGACGAGAGCATTAAATATTCCGGAGGTAGGTTAGACCATTGCCGATTGAGAAATCAAACGGAAGACACGGACGTGGCTCGTCGTTTGTTTGCTGATTGCGAAATGCGGTGTTCGACGTTACGTCAAATTCTGGCTCGATATATTATCGATCATTCAACGAGCCGAATTTTGTTGGTTCATTTATTTACAGATTAAGAAAGAAATGTAAGTACTTCCTACAAATGTTTATTCCATTTTAAGAAGAACGCAATTGAATATCGTAATATCGCGATATCGACTCGGTTTGTATCTACGAGCATGGCAACTGTTACAATAATCGAGATCTTTCAGATCGTTGACACAAAAGTTCACGTTTCACTATTGACACAATTCCGTGTTGATATTTCACCATTATTAAACGGTACACATACATATATCGATCGATACGAAAACATGTATTTTGAAAACTATATTTCTCAAGAAGTGAACATTTAATTTTTATATCGGATCGAAATGTAACTAAATGGAAAATAAATAAATTCTGAGAATTTATTGATAATTTAAAATGTCGTATTAGGAAGCGTTACGTTAAACCGATAAAAATATACATACGTGTATTGAAAACAAACTCACAGCGTGGGCGAACCACAAGGGAATGACTTATATTTAGCTGGTCGTATATTAACGTCGGGTATCGCTTTATTGCAATGTGCTACTCTTGTTCACCCCGGTCACGCTTTCTCCGAGCAGCTCGAGACACGGAGCTCTGCTTTTCCATTTGTACAATCTACAGCAATTACATTTTAGTTCTTTGTGAAAGCGATACTCGTATTCCCATATCGCATCGATTTACAATCGATACACATATCGAAACAATGTTTATGTATTCTGATACATCTTGTCGAGATTTATTTCATCTTTTTTTTTTCTCTTTTTTTTTTGTATCATACAAGATTTTTCAAATTTAATTTCTGTACATAATAAAAGGCTACATATAATTAAAGAAAGTGAAAATTAAATTCGTGCACGATTATAAATGAACGATATATATTTTCTTTTAGTAATCTTGGATTTTTCTTATCGTAGATAACTGATAGTATGGTATTGAGGCTATTAACGTTGGCTAATGTGCAGGAGATTATTTGACCATGGAGCAAGTGATACGTGAAGTGTCAAGGACAAATTTGTCCTTTCTTGCAAACACGATTTGCTCGCTACTTTAGCGACCTCTTCTTTCGTTTCATCTCTATTCTTATATTTTAGATGATCTAACTAGCGATAACTTAAAATAACATTTCTAACAATGATACGTTTAGAAACAAAAATTATTTGGCGTATATGAAAATTTTTACATTTGATTAATTCTTGTTTATGTTGTTATATATGATGATGTTGTAATAGAAAAATTACTAGCACAATATTTGTTTATATGCATATGTAAGTGTGAATTTTATAAGAAACTATACAGCAAAGCACTTATCGAAATTCAAATTTCTAGGAATGAAATCGACTTGTATCGAATATCGATATGAACCATCGACCTATCAGGAAGTTTGCCGAAAGTCGAAACTGTGAAAGCCTGTAATGGCGATCACTAGACGCTAGTAACAGCTGTTCCGACGTCACAGTATTTATTTAAACATAAAATCTGTGTATTTTATTGTCGTTCTAGTAGACTACCTATTTAGTGAAGTTAACAGCGCAAATGAAAAGTTGAAAAAATTAATTTTCAAGCTTGTGTTTCAAGGAAGAAAGGAACCAAAGTACTTCCGAAGTTATAGGTTATAGTGTTGTATTTTTTGTTTTCTTATTGTCTGAACAAGTTTTTAGAAATTTTGCGTTTATAAAAAAATTTACCGACAAACTAAAGAGTCCGTAAAATTGAGCTTCCAAATAAAGACGTGCGAAAATGTCGAACTGGAAGGAAAGTAGAGGCCCGATACCGCCTCGATGGCTTCACTGTCCACGAAAAGCTATCAAATTAATTCAGAATAAGTTTCTCGCTTTCAAGACCCCGCTATCGTCCGCATTCGATAGCCAGGTACCAGAAGAATGTCGTTTCACAATAGATATGCTGTTTGCATCATTAAAGAGTCAAAAGATCAAATTAGGCTTGTGGATTGACCTGTCGAACACTTCAAGATTTTATGACAAGAAAAGCTTAGAAGCATACGGTTGTAAATATTTGAAACTGCAATGTAGAGGTCATGGTGAAACTCCTACTGAAGAACAAACAAGGACTTTTGTGCAAGTCTGCAAAAATTTTATATCGTACAACCCGTTGGAAGTCATTGGTGTTCATTGTACACATGGTTTCAATAGAACTGGCTTCCTTATAATTAGTTATTTAGTAGAAGCTGATGGTACCAGTGTTGATGCTGGCTTAGTAGAATTTGCAGCTGCAAGACCACCAGGCATATACAAAGCTGATTATATTCAAGAACTATTTAGGCGATATGATGATATGGAGGATGCTCCTGATCCTCCACCTAGACCAGCTTGGTGTTTAGAATATGATGATTCTGATAACGAAGATAGGGATGAGGGTCCCAGCACAGACAAAGATAATTATAATCAAGATGTACCAAATAAAAGGAGGAAACGTGAACATAATAATAAAAATCCAGTATTCATGGCTGGTGTACCTGGTGTAACTCCTATTACTGATGATAGGAAGTTAAGTGGAATACAGAGAAGGGTTCAAGATATATGTTCTTGGAAATCATCTGGATTTCCAGGATCTCAACCAGTTTCTATGGATGAAGACAATATTAGATTACTACATGAAAAACCATATGGAGTATCATGGAAAGCAGATGGAACCAGGTTAGATAAAAATATACTTGAAACATTGAAAACAGCTTTAAAATATATGGACTGTATTTATCTAGGTATATGATGATGATACAAGCAGATGGAGAAATTTATTTTGTAGATAGAGATAATAGTGTATTCCAAGTTAATGGAATGACTTTTCCACATTCAAGGGACATATCTAGAACTCTTAGAGATACATTGTTGGATGGTGTAAGTAACTCTTATTATAGTGTTATATGAATTTGAACTCATTAAAGAAGTTATTCATAGAAATGATTTTGTAGGAAATGGTGATTGACAAAGCAGATGGTAAAGAATATCCAAGATATTTAGTTTACGATGTAGTGATGTATGATGGCAAAGATGTTAGCAAATTACCATTCCATCCTGATCGTTTTCTTATCATAGAACAGGAAATTATAGAAGGTAGAAAAAGAGCAATGAAAGAAGGAAAATTGAGAAAAGAAAGAGAACCATTTTCGGTGCGGTCGAAATGTTTCTGGGATCTGACACAAGCTGCTAGTTTATTAAGTGAAAAATTTGCCAAACAACTTGGTCACGAACCTGATGGCTTAATATTTCAACCTTCCAAAGAACCTTATTGTCCAGGGCCTTCTCTAGAAGTTTTGAAATGGAAACCCTTGTCACATAACTCTGTTGACTTTAGATTAAAGATAGTTACAGAATCTGGAGAGGGAATTCTTCCAAAAAAAGTTGGTCATCTTTATGTAGGTGGTATAAAAGAGCCATTTGACAAAATAAAAGTCACCAAACAAATAAAAGACTTGAACAATGCAATTGTAGAATGTAAATATGAAAATGGCCAATGGGTTTTTATGCGTGCAAGAACTGACAAATCATTTCCCAATTCATTTCATACAGCTCAGGCTGTATGCAAAAGTATTATCAAACCTATAACTACCGAACGACTTTTGGATTATATTAAGAGGCATAGATTTGTACAAGATGATTCTGATCTTATGCCACCGCCGCCTAAAAGAGTTCGACAATGAATTAGAGAGTAACTGATTACATGTAGCTTTACCGACATTATAATGTATTTATGATTAAAGAATGATACATTTATCACCGATCATTCAAACGGTTTACAAGCATTAAGTACTTGTACCTAGCCTATTGTACTCGATCAAAGTTGTTTCGATTGCTGTAAAACCTTAAAGAAATTTAAATTGTTCGCTTAATAAAGGAACTTTGTAATAAAATATATGTTTTCGTTTCTTTATTACTTTTCAGATAGGACCGTTCTATTATGGTGTACAAAGGAACTGACTGTAAAGGAAAAAAGATCACTCCGTGTTAATGTCGAATTCGATCATGCAACGTTGGTACGCTGGTCTCCCGATGGTAAAGCTTTCCTCATACACAAAGCTGTAGCAAACACCATTGAAGTTTACAAAATATCTAAAAAACAAGATGGTACCTTAGCTGCTGCAACTAAGGCTTTGGAATTTCCAAAGGTACATATTTGAAAAATAATATTTTTGGTATAATATTCTTTACGTATGATTACCTTTTATGTTATTAATGTTTTAGCGGCATACTGAAGATGTTGTTGGCATGGATATCGCATGTACAGGAAAATACATTATTACATGCAGCAAACTGAACGATCTTGTGGTATGGGATCTTAAAGGTCAGATCCTTGCAAACGTGGAATTACATCTTGGATCGACATATCGAGCACGAATATCACCATGTGGACGTTTCGTCGGCACATCCGGTTATTTTTTGTAATATATTATAATTCATTAAAGCTGAGAAATTATCTTAATAGCAATATTTTATTACGTAGGATTTACTCCGGATGTAAATATATGGGAAGTGATGTTCACTAAATCTGGAGAATTCAAGCAAGTAACAAAGGCTTTTGACCTTGCCGGTCATTCTTCTGGAATACTTGATCTCGCTATCAGTGCTGATAGTAGCAATATGGCTACTGTATCAAAAGATGGAACTTATCGTTTATACGATACAAAAAGTAATAAATTAGATTATATTGTTTCTAGATCAAATCTTTTCCTTGAACCATATTACAGGTATTAATTGATCTATTCACAGTTGAATTTGAGAAAGGAGAAGATCCTCATGTACTTCTAACTGGACAATGGGAAAATACAACAATAGCTAATATTGCATTGTCTCCTAACACTGAAGTTTTAGCAATATCTCATGGATCTTCATTAAGTTTTTATTCTACAATCACTGGCTTGCTGGACAATACCATAGAAGATATTTTTCTGGGTATTTTTACACTCTGTTATATAATTATTAAATTCTAAGGATTCTTATTCTCATAATATGGACATTTTGTAGGACCTATCATGCGCCTAGCTTTCGATGCTGCTGGAGAATATGTTTTAGTTGCTGGAGACAGACATATAAAGGTTTTCCGCAACGTTACTGGTTATCGTGTAGCAATCGAATCCGCGAAACGCAAACTTATGCAAAAGCAAACGTCTGCGACGAAAGAACGCTTGGAAAAACTTATCGAAGATAATATAAAGTTTCTGCAGGCAATGGAAGAGAAGTGTCCTTAATGAATCAATTGTAAAATCCTTTCAAATGGCAAATGATTTTAGGGTTTCATTTAAAAAAAGATTATTTGTAACATAATTTTTTAATGTACTTGAATAAAGAGATTCATATGAATTCATTTGTTTATGATAATACATTAAAAACATTTGATACGTCCAACTTCATCGTCTTTGAAACATAAATCGCGGCATCAATTTATTCAACGTCGTATTCGTGATTTGAAAAATGCGGGCAGAAGTAGATATGTGAATTTTTTTGACCTTGAATATGTATGTAAATATTTGCTTCTAACAACATTGTGTCCTTCATTCTCAGTAACAGTTGTGCAACGAGAAAAGCTATGCCTGCAGCATTAAAGGTTTGCTATTAATTTAAAAAAAATTATCTATGTTGTATGCTTTTATATTTGATGTGTATTTCAGCAACCAATTTCACTAGTTGGATGGGACTTGATAAATGATCTAAGTGCCTTGCCAGAAAATGAAGATATTAGTATGCACGCATTTGTTACCTTTGTATACATATTTAAGTTTCAACTACTTTCAAGCATATCAAATAACAAAAAAAAAAAATGGTAAAGTCATTTTACAAACGACGTTATTTTCTCAGTTACAGATTTTCTTTTGGAAAGGCTTCAACGTGGTCAAATTTATACATGGGTTGGTTCCCTACTCTTGACACTAAATCCTAACAATGAAATATCAACATCTCATTTGTACAATTCTTCAGAATTCAATAAGTATACTAACATATCTGATATTTATGATGCAAAACCTCACATATTTACCGTGGCCGCTAAGGCGCATTACAATCTTATTAAAGAACTTGGAAAAAGCTGTCAGGTAGAAACTTTAATTAAAGAGTAATGAAACAATTTCTTTTGTATACTCATCATTATGTTATGAATTAAGGTGATAATCATAAGTGGAGAAACTGGAAGTGGAAAAACATACAATACTTTTAAGTGTTTAGAATTTCTTAGTAGTGTTCACAAAAATTCAGTACAACACTCTCAAGGAGACTGTATGTACAACATTATGCTAAGAATTACAGACGCTTGTCGTTTAATATCTGCTTTTACAACTGCGTGTACTGAGAAAAATGAAGTAAGTTCAAGGCATGGACAGCTTGTAAGGCTTCATTATAAAGGTGGTATTATTTCTGGTGCAACCATTAATTCATTTCTTTTGGAGAGGAGTCGGGTAACAAGAGGATCGCGCAATTTTCAAATTTTTTATCAGGTTCGATTCTTTCACTTGTTGTTTATTCCTATACAAATAAAGATATCTGTGAGAAATATTGAAACGTATATTTCAGATGATATGTGGAATGTCAGAAGCAGAACTTAAAACTTTTAACTTGTCCAGAGATGATTGTTATGATATATTAAGTGCGGTAGATTACACTAAAGGAATATATTATCAGGACAGCTTTCAAGATACTCTAAAGGCATTGAATGTTTTAGGCTTTGAACCTGATCAGAAAAAACATATTCTTCAAGTTCTTGCATTATTAATTCATATGGGAAATATTAAATTTGTAAAGGATGGTGAAACTTGTACAATTGATCTTAGTAACAATAGTATGTTGCAATAATTATTACAAATGTGTATAAAAGAATAAAACATTTCATTCAACCTTGTTTGTAGAATCCAAGGAAGCTCTAAAAAATACTTGTGCTCTCAGTTCTTTGACTGAAGATATAGTGATGGAGTTGCTTACTACTATCCTTATAAATCCACAAAGTACTTGGCGAAAACATACTTCGTTTCATCGACATCTTGTTACTGTTGATGCGTGTCGCAACAGATTGCATAGTATAATTAGACATATGTACGATCTTCTTTTTCATTGGATTCTAAATCATATAAATAACACTTTATCCTTAAAACAAGAATATTCTCAATGGCTTGGTACGTTATAAAACTTAATTCTACACTACAAAATTTATCGAATTATATATACATCCCTTTTAGGTATATTAGACATATTTGGTTTTGAATCATTTGATAAAAATGGCATAGAGCAACTCTGTGTAAATTATGCTAATGAGAAAATGCAACAATATTTCATAGAAACTTACGTGGAAAATAGTCATAAAGATTTACAAGAAGAAGGTTTCATTGAATGTTTTAATTCTTTATACACTACTAATTCATACAAGAAATGTTTAAATATCATTGAAGAAAATTTATTCTTGACTTTGAATGATGTATGTAATCTTGCATACAATTGTATGTAATACTTATCCTTGTGGTAACATCATAATATTCATATTACAGGCTTGTCAGGTTCCTGTAGCAATTAACATGTCAACGATAATACAATCAGCATGTACAAATTTACATAATGTACAGAGAAAGTTTTTAAGTGAAAGAGAAGGAAATTTCGTTATAGAACATTACTCTGGTCCTGTCGCGTATTCTATCGAAGATTTATTATCTAAAAATACAGATAAGGTGTTACATACATTGTTTAATTTACTATAAACATTTTTAACAATTTTTGAAATTTCCTGCAGGTTCCAAACGAAATATCTATAATTTTTAATACAAGCAGAAATAAATTCCTTCGTTCTTTGATTAATTTTGAGGAAGAACAAGACTTACAAATAAAAATGTCTACCAAGAAACGAACGATTTTAGCTAAATTAAAATACAATATGGATACCCTTATTAAAGAACTGAGCAAATGTGATTTACTTTATGTACGATGTGTTAGGCCAAAGTAACGTATTTTTTTTACGATCGCTTTTTTAAAATCCCTATTTATTAAATAGTTAACGTTTTGTTTAGTCGTTCGATAAATAATGAATGGGATCGAAAAGACTTTCAAAAACAATTGGCTTGCACTGGAGTTTTTCATGCTTTGCCCTTGGCTAAATGTAAATATCCTATTCGTTTACGTTATCGAGATTTTTATCACCGCTACTCCAAAAACCCTACAGGTAAATAGTACAAATATTCGTTTGCTTATTTTAAATACAAAAAGTAAAATATTTGCCAACAGAAATTATTGATCATGATAAATGTAAACTGATCCTTGAGGCAATTACATCTAAGAAAGAACTACATACATTAGTTCATTTTGGAAAGCAACTGATATTTTTAACAGAGTCTATCTTCCTAAAACTAGAGACATATAGAAGGAATTACCGTGTAAAGTGTGCTAATAAAATACAAACATTTTGGATAAAGCATAGTAAGTATCATATTTTACATACACATCACTTTTCTTTATGTGGAATATTTATTTTTACAGGATGTAAAACAATTCCTGCTATTTCGAAGTATTTAACGACTAATTATCAAATAGAAAATGTACATAAAATAAATGAAAATGCCACGCATGTCAAAATTATACTGGATAGTGAACTGAAAAAATCGAATATTTCCGAGGAGGAGGATGACGTATTTCTTACTAGTAGTCCCCTGAAAAATAATAACGAAGTAGACCACTCATATTTTGTAACAAAATGCGAGAACGATATCGAGGATGATAATACAAATGAAAATTCGAATGAAACCCGTTCAGAAAGTAAAAATAATGACACAAAGATAAATAGTGTCTTTAAAAAGGTACAACATGATCTTGAAAATTGGCAAAAAAAATTCAAGAATGTTAAACATCAATTGAGAAATATGCACACTGAAAATCATTTCAAAAGCAATGCTAAACAATTTATGAAACAGATCAAATCTCATAGTTTTTCAAAATCTAAATATTGCAAAAATTTCCATGTGTATAATGATAATATAGATATTAGTTGTAACGAGAATAATAATAATTTATTGAAACAGCATTTAGGTGATATAACATTACACGTTTCTTCGGCTAACACACAATGTACGGATAATGATGATGAAAGGAAGTGGTCTATTTGTTACAATACGGTTTGTAGTTTTATTTGTTGCTTGAGTATGTTTAAATATTTTAAAAAGTTCGTTACTTTCAGGACAAACATTTCTGTACTATACAAGTAAATTCTTGTACATTTTTTTATAAAAATGGAATTTTAAGTCGGCGGCGACTTGCTGCAGTAAGTATTTCAAAAATATTTGTATTAAAAAATAATACTAATATTAAAAATATTTATTTCAGATACCGATAAGGATGCACACTCGTGCTACATGTTTGGTTAATTCACATATATTACCGCGTAGTGCATTACCGCAAGGATTACGGGACTGTCTTTAACAGAACGAGAATTGATCTTTTTGATAAGGTTAGTCATTACTTCAGCCTTTCTTCATTATTAGTTTAATAAACATATCTTGTTGTACTTTTTAGCAATATACAGAAGACATTGTTATAAAAATGTACTATTATAAGTAGGGTCATAACAAACCTTATTACAAGCGTGAAATGTTTTCTCGCTATAACGAGAAAATTAATATGTTAATATGTATTTTGAAATAAGACGAAATTCTTTTAAAAACGTAATTCTGTTTATATTAAAAACCACCTAAACCAGAACGTAAAAAAAAATATTTAAATTATGCACTTAGATTCACAACATCTGTAACACGTTATTCGGTAATACAAATTTATAAATAACCATATAATAGATTGTAAGTATCAAAAGGCCTTTTTCTTTTATCTTTAAGTACTAATAATCTTCGCGATGCTACGAGGGCAAGAGTAGCTTGAAGTTCGCTTCTTAAAATTTGATAATTCGCTCTTAAACTAACTCGTCTTAAATTACTCGGCGGTACAGGTCGACCACCAGCGAATGCAAATCTAAAATTATGTCACAATATAAAAAATACTCAATACATTGTAACCCTATTTAAATATGACGAATACATATAATATATACAGTTACATACCTTATTTCCCGTCTAGGACCTCGTAATGTAGAATCAGGAAATGCTGTTTGCCGATCCCATAACAGTCGATTACTTATAACAGGTCTAACGTTAACATACTTTATCTTGCTTTTAATCGTAATAGGAAGAGGATTAGGTTTTTTAAAAGCATTCACTGTGCTTTTATAACTAATAGGTAAGTATGGTAATAAAGAATCTCCATAATGCTCCATAAAAGCTTCAATGTCTAATGTGTGAGATTGCGATTTTATAAGGGCACAAATAGCGAGCTGAAAGTAAAAGTTATATTATTATTGAAAAAAAATATGTGAAGAAATAGATTTTAAAATTATCTTACAGCTATCTTTTGCCACAAAGCAGAACCTGACGGTGCAAATTTTAGAACAGTATGCACAGAAAGTGGAGAGTCTAATTCGTGTTGAAAAAATATTAAAGGCTGAATGCTTGCCAACAATTCCATAGCCATTACTTTTTTTTTACTGCCATCCACGTTTTCTTTATCTTCCTTTAAAAGCACGTTCTCCAATGTGGGGATATACCTTTTAATGATGAAGGTTAATTTTAATGCATATTCGTTTTTGTTACACAATATTTAACCGCGCGAAAATTTATTTACTTATCAGCAACGGACGGCCAACGAAGCATCAGCTTCAGCGCACATTCTTTAAAAAATGTTTCAAGGTTTGGATTCATAAAACTTTGTCCCAAAAGCAATTCCAATAGCAGTTTGGTCAGCTTATCTACCTAAGATTAAAGTTCTTGAAGAATCAGCTCTATCATAGAGTGAATTAATAAAATTCATGTGATCTTACTGCAGAATATTACCGAAGATAAGTGATATGGGTAAACAGCTTCACTGTTACTTGCAATTGCAATAATAAGTTGGCATGTTCTTGTAGATACTCTTGTGTAATGTGCATTATTTGAAATTACCATTGATCTAGCAATAGACATTAATTTATCTACTACACCTTCTCCACTCAAATGTGCATTAGTAGCACAGTCATTAATTAGAACCTATAAATTGTGTACATTGTAGATATAATAAACATTATAAATTATGTTTACCATAAAAATTGTGTCTACCTGAAAAGTTTTTTGAGATCCATTGAATAAAGTCTTCAATGCACGTTTTGCATAATTATTGCGTGCTTCTGCAAGCCTTATATCACATATTTCTGATTCTGTAAAATATTATTAATAAGTTGTAAATAATATTAATACATGATTAAATTAATACTAATAATGAAAGTGTACCTTGAATGACAGGTACATTACTTTGTGATATGTTAAGTGGATCATTTATTTTCTGTACTAGATTAATAATATGTTCATTAGGAACAAAAACTTTTGCTTCTGTATGATATTCTGGCATAGATTCTGGTGCACCCAATATTGGATCTACATCACATAAATTGGTAATCACAGCATTTACATCTGTAGATGTTAAGCGCTTTCTCTTGCTATGCTTTAGTCTTGTCACACATTTCTAAACATTAATTTCAGTAATTTACATGCAATGTTAAAAATGTATATTTTAAGTGTAAATACAATGGTAATTATATATACATGTAAAACTTCTCTCAGACGATACGAGGCATCCTCTGCAAGTCTTTTTAACAAAGAATCTGGTAAGGGATGCATCCCTAATTCTTCTCCAATTGCAGATATCCAATCTGTACTGAGTACAGCATATTTCCTTGTATTATTGTCAGTTGTACTGTTGCTATTGGTATCTCCGTTATTATTAACGAAAGAATTACTATATCCTGAAGTAGTTTGATTTGTCAACATTTCTTTCATGATTTCAAATTACACAAAATACAGGTTTTTCGTTACAATGTTTTTAAAACAATATGGCTGACGAAATGTAAATTATATCACAATTTATCAAAATTTCTGTCAACTGTACTATACGATGCAGGTTTTATTAGCATTGAGTAAAACGTGACAGTATATTATATCAATCTTAATTCGGTATAAAAAAAACATCAGTTTATTTTATTAAATTTTAAGTGTCAAATACAAATTAGTATATCATTGATACAAATAATTGTTACCCTTGTAGTAACTGTATAAGCTGAAAATTATAATTCCCTCCTGAAGATGACACTATTGTACGTCAAAGTTTTTCTCTTTCTTCGTCTACTTCACGGAACGATTCATTTTCCGTCATTGTTACGTGAAAGCTGACGTTCCGTAAAATTTCAAGAGGCACGTCGACCAATCGGAAGCGTCGACGAAATTTACGCACAGAAATATCACTGACGTGTCCACGGAAAGGAGACTACTTCAAGGGTTCATGATTATTCTCGTTTCGTACAAGAACGGTGCTTGAAAACAACAGTGTCCGACGGATTGTGTTAATTACAGTGTAATTTGTGGAATTGAGTAACGAAATTATGGCAGCGCAGTTAAATACATTTGTAAAGTCTTTCACTAACAGACTGTAAGTATTTTTTTTTGTCGAGTAATGATGAGATTTTTCGTCGAAATAATAGTATAATCGATAACGTAAATACGTTATATTCACATTATTATTTTGCCAAATTCGTCGGTATTTTAATACTTTATTTATATCCTCATTTCTGAGATGCAAGAATTCGCGGTGATGTAACTCAGAAGTCATGAAGGAAACGTTTCGTTTCGTTAAAAAAATTTTAAATCTTCCTTTCTACGCGTTTTCGAATGAAATTATTTATCGTGATATGCGTTTTTCTTTATCTGTGTTGGTTGGTATGTTTCGTGACCTTCAAACGTGTACGTAGATTGCAGAACTTCATTAATCTGAATATTTCATGTAGTTAAACTTTTTATTTGCGAACGTCGTTTGCATGACGTGTTACGAATGCACAAAGCCTGATCAACAGTTTCAATGCTCGCAAAGCTATAATTGCATATTTTTTGCAAGTATTCTTTAGCTTTGTTTGCTTTGTCTACATTCTTATCTTTTTCTTTTTTAATCTCATTTTAACTGTTGTACTGTTTTATTTACGAGGTAGATAACTTTACTCATAGATATAGAATGTATAGAAGATAATAGAGAGTTTTGTGATTACAGGGAATCTCCTGTTAGGCAACACTTGAAAAATGTCTATGGTTGTCTGTCTATGGCAACAGTATCAGCTTCTGCAGGAGCTTACATACACTTATTTACAGAGCTCCTGCAGGCTAATTTATTGACAACCCTTGGTACTTTTGGTTTACTTTTTGCTTTAACCAGTACACCAGACAATGGGAAAAATCAAAAATTACGGCTCAGCTACCTTCTGGGATTTGCATTCATGTCTGGGCTTGGTTTAGGTCCCTTACTTCAATTGGTTATGAGTATTAATCCAAGTATCATAGTAACTGCACTCATAGGTAAATTTTAAAATAATTTAAATATACTATTATGATGTGATTATTATAAATTTGTGTTAACTCTTATTATTACAATATGATTAACTTTTCAGGAACAACTGTTGTATTTGTATCATTTAGTATCTCTTCTCTTATGGCTGAAAGAGGACGTTGGTTATATCTTGGTGGTACCTTAATGAGCTTGCTAAATGTTATGGTTTTGTTTTCATTTGTCAACTTGTTCCTACGTTGGTCCTTCTTCTATCAAGCCCACTTATATGTTGGATTATTTTTGATGTGTGGTTTTGTTATTTATGATACACAATTGATCATTGAGAAATACCACATGGGTAGCAAAGACTTCATCATGCACTCTCTAGATCTCTTCATAGATTTTATTGGTATTTTCCGCTATCTCGTTATAATCCTTACACAAAAGGTAAGAATAATAAAGAGTATATACAGTAGTGTCCGGGTATATGGCCACGAATTTGTCCGCTTATATGACCGCGAGTCATCCCCATCAGTTCCTAGAACTGCAGGCTCAAGGTAGGCCTCGACATTATCTATGATCAGTTTCAACTGGTATTGAATTAACGAAACAAGAAAAATACAATTTTTTAATGTTTTTTATTATATTGTTACGAGATGGCCTTAATCGGATTATTGAGATTCGTACAATCAAAATAATATCAAATATGACTATATTTGTATTAATTTTAAGCTAAACGAGTAGTACAGTAATGACCGGATAGATGGCCAAAAAGTAACTGAGGAAGTGGAAGGTTTAGTAATAATGATAACAATAAAAATAAGAATAAAATAAACAAAATAAAATTAGGAATACAAAATGTGAATAAGTACACAACTATATTTTGTGTTAAGTTTAAATAATTTTTTAAATATTTTATTTCAATAATACCGAACCTTAAACGCTAATTGATTGAATTTTTTTACAATTGCGTTCTTCCAACAATTTTTTAACAGGAACTAAACTAAAGAAATGATTATTAGGAGTAAGAAATGACTTAACAGTATTATTACACTCTACCTATTCTGTCTCACTTGCACTGCCTACTTCTCACTCTTACTCTTGATGCACGCACGATAGAGTGAGCTGGAGTCAAATAACGTCGGCCAGTTCTCGAAAGTTCACCTCTCCGGATATATGGCTAGGCACAGTCCCGAGCGGTGGCCATATATCCGGACACTACTGTAATATTATTTTAACCATTGTAATTAAATTGTATTATTTGTTACATTAATCTATTATAGGAAGTATCAAAGAATCAACGTAAACGCAGAGATTAAACGGGAGCAAAGAAAGCTGTAAAATATCATACCATTCAAGTAAATCCATGAATTAGAGGTCTTCATCTAATCTATCCATATGTAAGACGTATATTTACTATAAAATTTAAATAATACAGCTTATCAATTGCGTCGACAAAATTTTTAGGCGTGACCATAAGGACGCAATGTATTTATTTCGAATTACTTATTTGTCACTGCTCTTTTCACTTATCTATTATCTATTAGATTTATATACATGTATACATAAATAGATATAAATTTATTGTACTATATTTTTATCTTTCAATAAACAAAATTTCCCAGCGTTTCTTTGTTTACTTTTTTAATCGAACAGCGGTAAGATTTTAAACGAGAGAGGGACACGGATAAAAGATTCAGCGTGTTACAGGGTTAAAGTCTTATTTATTAAAATGTAACTTTACACGTATGATTATCATTTACATGCGTATATAAAACACAAAACTTACGCGTCACGCATCGATTTTCGTGAATATAAAAAATGTACGAGAGAAAACAAATCGATGATAATGGAGTGTGTAACACATGACTTCTGTGTTGTGACAAATGTACATACGTTGAGATTGTGTACAAAATGTGTACAATACGTCAACAAGTGATTTAACAATCACTCTTCGAATATGTTTAATAAGGACGCTGGCGATCCCTGTCTCTGTCTCCACGGCTGAAACAGAACATACAAAATTAAAGAACTATACCTTATTTTCCAACTACTTATTTAATAAAGCTAACACAATTATATGAAACCAACCCGCCACCTCCCCTCATTGGACCACCTCGACCGCCCCTTCCACCCCTATCGCCTCCACGGAAACCTCCTCGACCACCTCTGTCACCTCCACGGCCGCCTCTGTCGTTCCTGAAACCTCCTCGACCACCACGATCACCGCCACGATTACCCCTTCCACCACCACTACTACCGCCAGCACCTTCTGGTTTTAGACTTTTACAGAGATTACATTGATCCCTCCATGCAAAGTTTGTGTTACCACATTCTGGATTGGGACACCTATTTAAACATAAATATTATAAGACAAATGTTTACCACCACCACCGCCGCCGCCGCCGTCACCACCACCACCACCGCCACCGCCACCACCACCACCACGATGATGATCATCTCTGTCACCGCCACCGCCGCGGCTTCCAAAACCACCGCCTCCCCGACCTCGACCGCCGCCACCACGACTTCCACCACTACGGTTACCCTGCCAATTGCTTTTATGCTGAGCAATTTGTACTTTTATAGTACGTCCTTTAAATTCCTTTCCATCGAACCAGTCTATCGCAGAACGCGCAGCATTTTGATCATCATAAGTCACAGTAGCTTCGCCCTTTGATTTACCGGTGTTTTTATCTTTGTACATCCACACTTTAGGTTTTCCGGTCCGCTTATCATGCTGTATACATTTAAAAGTGTTAAACTCGAGTGTTTATTTTTGACACATTTTTTATTTGCTTTTATTTGCATAACAAAATGTGACTTACTTTGATTATACCAATGGCTCCAAAATGTTGACATATTTCCTCTTCCGAAATTGAAGGATCCATACCAGATACAAAAATAGTATCTTCTTGCGTGACCATTCCATCGTTGCCACCACCGCGGTCACCGTAGCCTGTAATGTGATAGGAGTTAACACTTTGTCTCACGCGGTACACATTTAGGTAAGGAATAATACTTGCAAATCTACTGTCCCTAACCTACTCAAGTCTAAGCTAACAAGTGGAAAACTTTTGTATCGGGTTAAAAACAACTAATAACACAGTACACTTTGGAGGATAGAATTTTGCAACCTTTTCGGAATTTTATCGTACTTCTTCTCTTTCTTATTTAAGTTAAAAGAAAACCCATACAAACACCTTTCCCTAATGCAATCATTTTATGCTTAAAATAGTGACAATTTTGAAATGATAGCTATACCTAAGCACTATTGCTTTAAGTAATTAAATACTTTGTTCCTCTTTCTTCTTGAAGCATTACCAATATACTTAGGAAAATATAATAACTTGTTTTCTTTAATAACCATCACCCGAACAACATATTTCTAAGTACAAATTTTTTCTACAATATATACCAGGAATTTTTTAATTCATGTATGTTTAGAGACATACATTTACTTTGACATTAGTCTTACTTCTTGAATACACGAATTTTGTCTTGCCCATTAATAAGTGATATACCTTTCTTATAAATATTCGAAGTTTTTTGACTTGTTGATATATAACACCACTATTGTTATATTTATACAATATTTAGAATACCTTGTATAAAATTACTGACTTAAAGGCATCTGTTTTTCTGTTTGACGCGTGCAGTAACAAAAGTATTAGTACTCATTGGCCTAACATTCTTAGTAGCGTATAACAATATGTAGAGAACACAAGGTTGCAGCTTAACATACAAAAGGGCTGCAACATTATTTTTACTCTTACCATTTCCCTATATTGTATATTTTGGGGAAGCTTTGATTGATTAGGGATTGATAGATATTCACCAGCTGCCTTTTATATTTAATTTTATCCTGGGACATGTCTTAAAATATCAGAGTATTGGAGTATATGAGCAGCATAAGTGCTGATTAAAGATGAACATTTCTGAATGTTCCCTCTCATAAAACATTCTTCTGTTTCATGTTTCTATATGTGAAAACATGAGAAATGAAAAGCGCATGGCGCATTTATACTTCAAATAAATGGTTGCTTAACGTAATTTACAATATTTTTTTAACATGGTGTAAGCTGCTTTTAGTGTTAATTTTATAACATGTAGACACATATAAAGAATTTATGTTTTGCGGAAAAAGCAATTGGTGATAAAAAAAAGCAGCCTTTATGATGCTGCAATAACATTACCCTGTTTCAATTATATCATAGAATTCTGACCAAATATTAGTCGCCAGAGAAAAATGAACCCCTAACAATGTTGCATAGCAGCCCTTTCATATAATACGAGTAACCGAGTATTTAGATTTTAAATATTAGAGTGAAAGCTTGAATAGCACCAGACTAGTACAGACAGTCTGGTGCATTTACCTTTGTTATAACCACCACGGCCACCGCCACTGCTAAAACACAGAAGCAGATATACCAATGAGTTGACTCATGGACAGACTGATCGATCGATCGATGCATGGCGAATCAAATGCTGCTCGCCACTTCTCTTCTTGATGTACCTACTGTCTAAATGTCTGTGGTCACCATATTACTTAATACTAATATATGTCATGTACATCGTCATGTTCGTCCGTCACGTCCAGCATGCAAAAATTACCCACGTATCGTGGTAGTGATATTAACAAAAGAACGAGAATAAAGTGATGTTCTCTGCACAGCTATTATTCATAACTTTGCGAGAAAGAAATTAGTCAAGACAATTCTGTATAAAAGATTTTCCTACTCACGTCCAATGTACGTGAGAATTTGATTTGATAAGAGATTACTATGAATCATACTTCAAATATATACATTTAATAAAACTGGTAGGGTATATATTGGAATAAGAAGTGATTAATTATATTGGTCACATTAGTACAACATTAATATCTTACTGCAAAAAATAGACAAAACATATTAAAGAAATACCAATGCATTCATTGAAACTTCAACTTAGAAATACTATTGTTATATAAATTGCAATCTCTTATAAAAAACTTTAAACGTCTTTTCATTGTCTAGTCGATTTCAATGACCCTAGGTAGTACTATTCAGACAACAGTGGCCCCAGTGGCAGAATTAACTGCTTTACAGGTATGATCAATACAAAACCTTTATGTATGCGCATCATATTATCACTTATTGCAATAATGCAGAACCAGAATATACCAGACATTATAACCATTTTACGTCATTTGTCATATACAACCTGTTTTTACCTTTACCAGTTATACCTGTGTGTTAAACCTGTAGGCACACTTCAAACATATTAACGCCCAATGGGCATAAAACCATTTGCAAAGAGACAACAAGAGTTTTCATTACTGTCATAAGAATTTCATTTCATACCTTGATTACTTCAATGAATGTATTTACCTCTTCACTGATTAATATTGTTGATATATGATTGAATTTTTTTTATTGACCTTATAAGTTTTTCGCTTCATTATATATGTATATATAAATAATAGAAGAAATAAACTTACTTGTAGCTACCGCCAGAGCGGTCACTGTATCCCCCACGATCGCCATATCTATTGCCACCACCTCCTCCTTGACCTATGCAAATATATTAATGTAAAAAAAAACATCCTTACAATGTATCAATTACATTATAATTTCTTCAAGTTATTAATAATGCTAAATATACCTCCACCATAGCCTCCTGAACTATTACGATTATAGCCTCCACTGCCTCCACCTCCATGTCCATAACTGCCACCATAATTGCTACTGCCACCACTGTTACTTCCAGAACCTCCACTGCCGTAACTGTTCTGGTTGTAACTGTTTTGACTTGATGGATTGTAGTCTGGGCCACCGCTGGAATTGTAACTGTTGTAACTGCCATAATTGCTTCCACTATTTGGTGGTGGTTGACTATATTGATTAAACCCCCCCCCCCCACCGCTAGAAGGTGGTGGATACGAAGTATCCTGACCACCAGAAGGTGGTGGCTGACTGTACTGATTGTACCCCTGTTGTTGGTAATTTGAATACTCTGAAACAATTATAAAGAATATTATTAAATATCAATATAAAATTTTAATTGTTGTATTTAGGAAATCCATAGGACATCATGTACAATATATATGTAAATGCAAAAATTTAATTGTGTTCCACAAAAATTAAAATCAGAAATAGTATCTAAAAATTAAATTATGTAAAATGCTGTAGAAAGTGGAACGAGACGCTTGGAATACCGGATCAATAAGTTTACGTGAAGATTACACGGAAGTGAAGAACGCTACTACAATTTGCACTTTAATCCGTATTTTTACAGCATTTTATATAATATTTGCATTTAAATGTGATTTATAATAATGATAATTTAATAATAAACAATAAATTCGGTAAAATTATTAAAAAAAAAGCGTCAAACGTGGCAATACACGTTTGAATTATAGCAAAGACATTATCTAAGAAATTTCTAATTGAAAAATACTCTTCTAGTTCAATAAAAATCAATTTTCTACTATTGCAAGATGAATTGCAATTTTTAATGTAAAAATTTGAAGTTTTTTTATACATACGGGTGTCCGTCATCGTGCCTTCCTCCGGTAATCAACTTGCTACACGGCAGAAAAAGCACGTAATGGCGGGAATGAAGCGATTTTCCAACGACGAATCTGAGCGATCTGAGTTCAATGGTAGAACTCAACGTTTCACTACCGGATATTGGTTTCAATGAACGGAAGTTGTTTTTAATAGGTGGCGCTTCAAAATGCTTGAATTTTAAAACGTCACTTGAGTTTGGTAGTATGTTTTGCGAATTCAAATTTTAAACCGTTAGTGCGCAAATTGTACAAAATTTTCATGTATATGATAAATAATATTTAATTTTCAAAAAGACACATTCTGAAATTAGTAAGTATTTTATAAATGATTTTAACACTAAATGTGCTTCATGAAAGGAAAGAAGGTAAAAAAGAATAATCGTTGGGTTTTATAATTTCTTTTTTATTTTCATATAATACTACATGTATTTCAAGGTTTCAATACAATGCATGGTTTTGGTTTTGTTTGCGAACAAACTTCATTGCATTTTAAGAATCGTAATAAAAAACATTATTTTTAACACAGTGAAATTTGTTTATCATTACTGTTTCTTTCCGATACATAATATTTACATCAACAGTAATATACCGTGCTTATGCTACTGATTCATCCATGTTTATACCCTATTAACTCATCAAGGTATTAAATTTTTTCACATTTATAAAATTATGAAATTTTAGTATAAAATCAGCAGCTGTTGAAATTAAGTTTGATTCAATTATACGTGAAAAAATAATAATCTCAATGGGTCGAATAATATATTGTAGCACACGTATGTTTTGCATGAATACATGTAAACACAAATACGTTACTACAATGTCCACTTTATAGTACATGCTATAGTATATAATTTTTTAAAGAAAAGATTTTGCATTTTTGAACAACGATAAAATAAAGATGAACATTTTATTATCAAAATCAGGTATCGATTGAAATTATATTTCATAAAAAGCAGGAATAACGAAAATGAATATATGTTAAAATACAATTCCAAGAAAATTGAAAAATAACTTGATCGAAAATACAGTTTTCTTAACATAGACTTCATACAATAGTTGTCTGTACATATACTTTCTTAATGAGAAAAGAAAATTTAATTGCCACTATAAAAATTGTGATGTCAGGTCAAAAGTTAGGTATAAACAGAAAAGGTGAAATTAAAGATCACGAATTGGAATGCTGAGATGGTGTTAAACCGCCACTATGTTCAGGACTATGTTTCTGTTTTTTTCTCTTTTTCTCTTTCTTACGTTTTTTCCTAGCTTCTTTTTCTTCGTCGTGTCTTTTCTGTTTTTTATGCTTTTTCTCGTGAGTGTCTGAACCACCAATATCTGTTGTTGTTGCTTCTTGACCACTAGGTACTTCTCCTGGTTTATGTTTATGCTTTTTATGTTTATTTTTGTGTTTTCTTTGTGGAGCTTGATTGACATAACGATATTGTTCTGGTAGCTACAAGAATATAGGATCTTTTAATTTTTGCTGAGTATTTTATTAGTAAATTTTTTTTTCACAATATAGTCATGTTTACTTACAGGACCAGGATGTAAACGAAAACCAGCTAATTGAACACTGGTCAATGGTATTAAATCTTTTCCTCCAATTGGAGGTTTTTCAATCACAGATCTTAACGAGCTGAAATATAAAATTGTAACACAGATTCTAGAGTTTTTTAAAAGTAGTGATGTGATATATAAAAGATTAGATTAATGTACCTATTATCCAAATGACCAGGTCTATCTATAATGCCAGGCAAGTTGGGTAAAAATGACGAAAGTTGTTCTTTGAGTTTCTTTCCACTAAATTTACTATAGGAGTGTTCTAGGCCATAACAGGCCATTAAGTTTGTTGCCCCTGTAAGTTCACTTTCTCCTGGAAAAATTAATTAGGAATTATATATATATGTATATTTTTTTATTTCACATTGTGTTATATTTTATAATTATAGTATGTAAATAATGTACCAGGGGGTTCCTTCATTAAGTAAAATGGTCCACTATGGACAATTGAAGGATTTTTGCCCAGGGAAATGGTTGTTTTGAGAGTCCCTGTTGAATCTTGACGTGAAACAACAGGGGAACGTGCACCCCTGGGTGATGACTTTGGTGAATACTGCTCCACTTTGCTACGAAACTGATCGCCCATCATCATCCTTTGATTTTACTTCATGGCACCTTCACTACAATTAATGGGCTCTAGCAGAGAGCATGGACAATAGTTTAAAGCTTGCTTTGGTTAACTGACATATGTTTACACTGTTTACTAAAACATCCAAGTACAACTTGGTACTATTATAAAATGCACAATGAACACGTAACTTTCATATCATTATGCATAAACACCATGCAACACAGCAACAATGGGGATACATAATTTAATAAGTTAATGAGTCTACAATATGTTTGATATGACTTAATTTCATAGAATACATATAATAAGATTACACGTTCGAATTATCACCATAATTTACTCTTCCATAAATTAAATAAGACACTAAGTGATAGTTTTCTTAGCATTTTGTCTCGATTACTTATTTGGTTTCTTACTGGTAGGTTACAGTTCGTTTAAAACGAAAGTTATCGTCACTAGCGAGATTTCACGGTTTTGCATTTAAATTATAAGTCAATCAAAATTTTACGTTGTTATGGTACTTAATTATATACATACTGATACAAGTGTTACAGATAAAACCGTGTATATTAATTTGTCTAAATTCATCATTTCTTCAGGTATCCCCACTAACCAACAAACCCTCTCTCTCGCGTTCATCTCTTACCGAAGCACTAGTGGATTTAAAATTTTTTATACTTTATTTTTTCGTATTTCGTACGTCGCATAATACACATCGAGACTCACACTTTGAAGGTAGTTGTTTCTACATCGAGGCATGTATGGAACCACGTATATAGATAAGAAACCGTAAGTGAGTTGAACGTATCGTAAATGTCACGATTGGAAGGTTCAGGGAAGTTCAATTGCAACATAATTAAGGGACAGCATAATGTATAAAATACTGTAAAAAATAACGCATTTTATTTACAGTTTATTATCTTTTCTTATATATCTTTTGTTGACAAGAACAATATTTTTTTATCAATATTAGCATATCACTTTACATTCGCAACGATTTATAATTGTGTACGTTTAAAGCGCGTATACATGTAAAGCATTTATTTGGGGTATATTTCCAATGTATTTTTTATTTATGTATTAATTAGTTTTTCTAAAAAATTAATACAGGGAGCAATACAATTTCATTTTGTAATTACATAAATTTATTTATTTCACACTACGTGCGAATAATTTATGCTATGGTAAGGTTATGTCTGTATAATTGTAAATCTAAATAAATAAGCGATACAAAAGAATTTAGTCATGCGTTAAACTAATTATACTTTGCGTCATATGTACTTTTGATTCGTTTGACAAAGAATGCTCTATTAATCGTACGATTTTATAATTACGATACATTAAAGCTACTTCCATTGGTGTATGACCAGCTCTATTCTTCCGGTATAAATCGGCCTCTTTTTCAATAAGATAACTGGTTTAATAAGAAATTTAACATCTTAGTTAGAAATTTTAAAAATGTTTTTTGATATTTGCATTTGTATATACTAACATAGCCAACTTTAAATTTCCTGTCATAGCTGCCAAGTGAAGTGGCGTGCGTAAACCGATAGAATCTGTTGTATTCACGTTGGCTCTGTTTTGAAACAAAAGATCGAGTATTTTCGTGTCAGATGTGTTCCGTGTGTATAACATGGCATTAAGAAGTACTCCTAATGAGATTTGATCTAACGCAGATGAAACAGTAGCTCTGCGAAAAAAAATTCGTTCACGTTATTTTAATGAAAATCGTTTTTATGAATCTGAATGCACATATTTACCCATGAGCCAATAGCAATTTAATCATAGGAAGAGAGGGTCTTCGTATAACACTCATATACAATGGACTTTCCTCAAAAATATCGAAAACATTCACATTAGCGCCATTTATCAGTAGAATTGTGGCGCTTTCGATATCTTTTCGAAAAGCGGCATAATGCAAAGGATATCTGCCCAAATTATCCGTGCAATTAACTATGGCTCCATACTCAATCAATTTCTTAATCACATTTATATGTTTAAGAAAAGTAGCCTTATGGAGTGACGTTAACCCTATACAAAAGTAGTCTATTTCAGGCTACGTCAATGTCATTTAAAGTATGACATGTTTTATGATTTTATTTTAGCATCATATATAAGGTAACATTGATAAAAATGGTACAGCATTATAGATATTTAATTTTATAATCATTAAAATAATTTAGTTAGAATAGCTCAATCAATAAAGTAGTTTCCTAGCAAGCAAAGGTTGGGATGTTTAAATTATAGCTCAACAATTTCATTTAGTTTTTTAATTTCTTTTCTTTATAATACGAAATATTGATTTAGTTTTACTGACCGTCTACGGTTTTTGCCTCAAAATTAATGGATGGTTGTTCACAAAGTAATTGAATAAGTTCTATGTCATCTTGTTGAACTGCGATATGTAAAGGAGTTAAATAATCAGACCTTCTACAATTGATGTTTGCATTCTGAATAAAATTATACGTGAAACGTTAAAAGCACCGGTTTATACTCAATATAATTAAGAATTTTCTTACTTGCGAGAGTGCTTCTTTTGCAAGAGGTACATGACGTAGGGTACAAGCCAGCAATAATTTCCAATTATTCTTATCACTTATTGGTGCCGGCAAATATGTAGAATCGACTATAAAAACACGACGAGACGATTTTTTCGTCATTTTTTGCATGACTTTTCAAAGAGAAAAATTAATTAATATTCTACAAAAATCGCAATGGCTTTTACGAATGTTTTTTGTTTCTTTTTTCTTTCTTTTATGAAACATTATGTTAAGAAGAAAATAGGGTGGTAAAAAATATTCCAGAGCAAATGCTTATAAGTAAAATATAATTATTTATTATGTTTTTGTTGTTTAGTTTCATTATAATATTATGTTATCGTCCAAGTAAAAGCACCATGAGTTTGAAACATTTTATACGACGCCGATTGATACAACTGTTTGATTTTAAAATGCACACGTACATATAATCGAATGTTTACACAATGAAATTTACGATAATAATACACATAACGGGTGTTCATATAACGAAAGTTTTACTGTATATCTATTTTGAAGTAATACAGTTGATATAGAATTTTCTTTTTACGCAGTTAGTATTTAAATTACACCTAAATAGCTTATCTAATTTTTTGCAGTTTGACGGGTTGAAAAAATATACGTATGTAGAAATAACGAAATGCCCTAAATATTTATCAAAATGGCTTCACATATATTTCATTTGAAATAACATACCATCTTATTAGTTAAAATTTATTTAATTTTTGCACAACTATCACAAGTCATTGTCAAGGGTACACATTTTTTATTATAACTACCTATTTACGTGCATATTTATTTATAATTAAAAGTGCTCTCTTGAAAATGATATTTTTTCTACCTCTAGGAATTAATGGGTTAAAGTAAGGACAAAATTAATTGGAATTTTCTCAATTTTACAGTCTGGTAAGAAGTGCCTTAGCAGCAGTTATTCCAAATAATTGTTATCGGGGCTTGAAGACATTGTCACAGATTTCATACATTAAATCGAATGGTATATCAATGGGAAGAACATTAGAAATCATCCAATTTGGAAGAGTTTAATGTTGGGGTTCTAAAAAGGACCACAAGAATTGTTCTGCTTAGCTTGCCACTAGCGTTCAAAGCGGAAGGATTGAGAGTATCACCGAGAGCATCGTCAGAAATTAAGTACTATCAGGTTAGTTGATTATTAAAATAGAAATTTTTTGAATTTTTCATTTTTAGTAATAGTTATTGTAAATTAGAGCATAATTGCATGTAGTAAGTTGTTTAAAATTGATACTTGTAATAAATTGTTAATTACTTTAACATTACTAATAACGTAGATAGTAAAATAAAGTTTCTGGTTTATTTTCAAATACTTTAATTCTGGAATAATTAGTGTTTCTTGTTAAATAACAATTAGATGGTGGTTTAGAATTATTGGAAGTATTAGATAAAGTGGCATGATTTGACTTAATAAAGCAGTTTAATTTATTAATTTCACAATGAATTAACAATTGCATGCAGTAGATTACTTAGAAATTGTTTATAATTGTATTGAAAATTGAAAAATTAACGTTCTTTTTGTGTGAATTACAGATGAAAGCTTCAAATTTCCGTTGCTAGACAAAAGTCTACACTCTGTCCATCCTGAAAATAACCTCCCTTTGCGCATAGGACGTATCTGAGGAGAATCCTTGTTTTAGGGTCTCTCTACTTGACTGTACGTTGCTGACCACCCAAATTTTCTTGTTGCAGTCGTCTACGTTGATCCAAGTTTCGTCCAAAGAATATATGTATATGGCGATCTTCTGATTTATACTGTGCCAGCTTGATGAAATAATTATGCCGCCAGAACACAATACATATTGTCTTTTTCCACGAGGGCGCTGTTCCGAAGTTTCGCCATAAATTTAAAATTTAGCTCGTGGAGGATTTTGTGGGGTGTGCTCCTTCCGTACGTTCCTAGACGGGTTTTCCGTGATAATATCTTTATATAGGTTTACGACAATTCTTTTTGTCCGGATTGAACGTAGTGTGAAAACGAAATTTACAACGGTAAGGAGTTATGATAGATTGAAATTACGATATACGTATGTAGGTACGTTAGATTTTAGATTTACCTACCCAAAAACAAAAATATTCCCTCTGTATATATTTTTGAAACGATTAAAACCATTAATGTAGGAAAGTTATCTTTCCTGAAGGATTTTTGCTAATCGGTGAACTGGAAGGGCCAGGCTCTTGCTGCTCCATTTTTTTGCTTCTTCTATACTTGACTGTGTTATCAAGTTGAATATGATCTCCCAATTTCATTTCGTGTTTTAATACACTGAGTTCTAACGAGTTCCACACTCTATCGGCTTCTAACGTGTTAAGACTTTGAATGACTGGTTTTAACCCTTTTATGCCTTTTTTGACTAATTCCGTCGAATGTAATGCACGCTGATTGGTCGATCCAAGAAGTCACTAATTGCCAATCAGTGTACCCTTGCACCCTTAGCCCGTTACTTAGAAGAAGAGGTAACGATGTGTTTGAAGAAGATGGCGAGTGTTTGGCACCAGCGCAGGATTTCCTTCAGGTTCTGACCGCGTCCACCTTTTGATAGTTACAATTAGAGTTTGTGAGTCATCCTTCGGAAGGCCCATTTTATGGCACGTTTTTTGGCTATTGACGACAAGAGGTACTACCTTCTAATTTTCCTCTCACAAGAACATATTTTAAGTCTCGAAAATATGCTAGTAATGAACTAAAGCTCTAATCTCCAAAATAGCCTCTTTGGCACGTCCGTGTCATAAACCGCTGCGCTACATACGCACAGTATGCATACTTGTAGAATATCGTGACGTTATTCGTAAGATGGACAGAGTGTACATTCTTGACGCTATTTTTGCAAAATTTTCGAAATTTTTCGTTCGAGTTTTAGGATTTTTTAAATTTTTTCGATTGTTACACATTCCTAATGATATCCGGATTTAGTTTATTTAATTTTGTAATGGAGTATTATTTAGAAAATGAGTATTCCGCAAAAGGAAATGGGTGTGGTGTGTAAAGGAGAAATGAATAGACTGTAATGTGTTGTAAAACAATACTGACATATTGTACCCTTTTGTAAAATACATTTTGCACTTTTATTTTACAATAAATAATTGATTTTTTGATAAATAATTCCACTTCTTCATTTTCCCTGATGTTCAAGTCCTTTCCTTGATTCCTGTAGTGGCCTGAAAGTTCAACCTATAATTCACACAAAAAGTACGTAAATTATTCAATTTTCAATAAAAGTTATAAATAATTTCTAACTAATTCACTGTATGCAATTGTTAATTTAATGTGAAATTAATAAATTAAACTGCTTTATTAAGTCAAATCATGCAACTTTATCTAATACTTCCAATAATTCTAAACCACCATCTAATTGTTATTTAACAAGAAACACTAATTATTCCAGAATTAAAGTATTTGAAAATAAACCAGAAACTTTATTTTACTATCTACGTTATTAGTAATGTTAAAGCAATTAACAATTTATTATAAGTATCAATTTTAAACAACTTACTACATGCAATTATGTTCTAATTTACAATAACTATTACTAAAAATGAAAAATTCAAAAAATTTCTATTTTAATAATCAACTAACCTGATAGTACTTAATTTCTGACGATGCTCTCGGTGATACTCTCAATCCTTCCGCTTTGAACGCTAGTGGCAAGCTAAGCAGAACAATTCTTGTGGTCCTTTTTAGAACCCGTGCTGCTGCAGTTTGATCGAATGTATCGATTATCGATTAATATGTAATTTCTCGATAAATCTCTCTCCAAGTAAAAATATCGATATGTTCTCTTACGAATGCTAATATTATAGTCTAAGATGTTAGAATATATGTATGTCCATAAAATCGATAACAAGAAGATCTAGTTAGAAGATCCCCCATTAAACTTTTTTCATGTGTTCCATTCGAATATGCGTTAAAAATTGCTTAAAATACTTTCTTTGCTTTTTCTCTTCGTTCTTTCCAAGTATTTGAAATAGTTCTGAGTACAGTATAAAAATACTGGTGATTAAAACGTGTTTAAAAACTCGTTATTGTTAATTATTAAAAACATATCCTGTCCGAAGATTATAATTTGTAGTAAGTATAGTATCTAATGATTTTCAATAGTTTTTCCAAAAATAATCCGACATGTTACTCTTGTTTTTTTTTCTATTCTGTTTCTTTTCAATTCTCAAAAAGTAACAGTCACGTGATAAAAAGAACGATTCTAACCTTTAATTATGAAAGATCTCGCGGCTGCGATTTTCGTCTTTTCACAGTTTAATAAAGTTCAAGCAGTACGGCGCATAGCGGTATTTTTTTCAATGATTTTTCAATTTGAAAAGAGTTTCAATTTCAACGAAACATCACGGTGTGTTAATGAAACCAACAAAACCCGATTGATTGATATTCCTTTAATTATACACAATAATAGTAATAATAATAATAATAATAATAATAATAATAATATCGATATTTTTCATTTTAT